ACTACTGATTCAGTAAGCCACAGGCGGCAAACTATGGCCCTAGGGCCAACTCCAAAAGTTATTTACAGCTTTCTTGAAAATAGAAGTTTTCCAGAACATAGTCACACTCACTTGTTTATGTATTGTCTACGGCTGCGTTTGCGCTACAACGGCGGAGTTAAGTAGCTGCAACGGAGTTCCTGAGACCGGCAAAACCTAGACATTCACTATCTAGCCCTTTAAGAAAGTTTGCCAACCCTTGGTCTAAGAGAACGTACTTTTGTTTGAGTTACTATTAACTATAATTAGAGCGTAAATTCAGATGTTAACTTATTGACAAGTTGCAGATGATTTTGATCTTTATAGAGATGCAAATTATTTCTGTCTGATATAAAAAGGCACCCTTTCTTCCCACCTGGCTATTACCCTTATCTCCTTATTCATTCACCTATTCAACAAATATTACTGAGCATTTGTTTCACACTAGGCATTACTTTGATGGAGCTTATAAATTAGATGAGGGAGACAGAGATTAAACAGACAATAAATGTAGGACTGCAAACTAATGTAAGAGCTCTGAGGTCTTTCCTTCAGCCTTTCTAGAATAAAGGTAGCTAAATTTGGAATTTATTGAACAGATATATTATCACATATGTGGCATGATATCAATGATATTCACCGTATGTTATTTGAAATAAAAAACTATTGGAAATAACTTACACATCCCTCAATAGAGAACTTGTTAAATGAATTAAGGAAGACCTACAGAGTTGTTGGGATGAATAAGGTCACTCTGTATAGTCCTGATGTGGAATGATATCCAGGATACATGACGTGGAAAAAGAAAGAGGCAGAGCAGTGTGTATAGTTTCTACAATTTTTGTGTGTGGGGGGGGGGGTGGAAATATGTTTATGTATACATATGCACAGACTGTTTGGGGAAGCATATTCAAGAAATTGGCATGGTTGCATTTAGGAGGGGAAACTAGGTAGCTAAGAGACTGAAGTAAGAGACTTGTTTGTTCACTAAATACCCTTTATACCTTTTGAATTTGTACAATGTACATGTATTATCTTTTTATCTTTTGAAAAATAAACTTTAAAAATTTAAATAAAATTTTCAATGGCTTCCCAAGGCTCTTAGAATGAAGACCAAAATCCTTAACATAACCTAAAATGATCTTGTATGATCTGGACCCTGCCTACCTTTCTGGCCCACCTTGTATCATGTTCTTCCTCCTTCATTATATTCCAACCCACCAGCCTTCTTTCACTCCTCAAATGGACCATGCTCTCTCCCCTAACTGGACTTCGCACATGCTGCCCAACCTATTGGAACTCTCTTGCCTCCCTTCTTTATCCAGTTAACTCCATATATGAAGGTTCAGTTAAAACATCATTTCCTCAGAGAAGCCTCCATGCTAAATCACGTCTCTCTAATTGCACACTCTCTGGGCTCTGTTGCCCCTTTCCTTCAAAGCAATTACAGCACTTATAAAGTTACATTTTTTTGTGTGATCATCTATTCAGTGTCTTTTCCCCCCACTATACTGTAAGTTCCAGTATGACAGGACTATGTCTGGGGTGTTTTTTTTCTTCTCACTACTGTATCTCCAATTCTGGCATAAAAAAAATTTTTTTTTGAGGAAGATTAGTCCTGAGCTAACATCCGCTGCCAATCTTCCTCCTTTTGCTGAGGAAGATTGGCCCTGAGCTAACATCCATGCCCATCTTCTTCTATTTTATATGTGGGATGCCTGCCACAGCATGGCTTGATAAGCAGTGTGTAAGTCCATGCCCAGGATCCGAACCAGCTAACCCCAGGCAGCCGAAGGGGAGTGCATGAACTTAACTGCTATGCTACCAGGCCAGCCCCTCAAAAAATCTTTTATGAATGAATGCACAAATAAGTGCATGTATGCATATGCATGAATAAAGTACTGAAAGAATGAATGAACAGATGAACTGTCAGGAAACCAGGTGGCCAGGTATCAGGTGGGTCATACTGAAGGCAACCAGGCTGATGATAGTACGTCGAAAAGAGATGAGGCCCAAATGCCACGATAAGTGAGGTGGGGGGGTGAATGATGGTTGGTAGATGAGTAATGATTAGGGGTAGGAAGTGGTATAAATCTCAAAGAGCGAAGCTTTTACATGAAAGTGGAGGAGTAATGTTCAAGAAGTGACAGTGAGGAGTGATAAGGACATCAGCTCCACCTCCAAACTCAGAGAGAGGTACATGGGATATGGGAGAATGAGCAACCATTGCCTGCAGGCTAGAGGGAAAACACTGTCTTTCTCCAAGAGAAAGCCAGGTCTCAGAACATTCTCTCTATCTAATGTCTTGACTAACAAGTTTGAGTATAGAGAAGGTTTAATAACTCAATGAATTCTTGTCACAGTTAAAAAGTTGGGAAAGAGGGGTGATAAGTGCGAGTGAGTTGAAAAGCACAAAGTTATACAGGAATGTCAAATCAGACTCACACAAATGATAATGGTTAAGGCACTTTATAGCAAGAAAAAAGGAGAGAATGGAAATGATGAGGAACTGATGACAGGATGGCTGCCTATCCATCCTTGGTACAAAATGGTGAAAGCTTTAAGGCAAGTCACAGAGACGTTTTACCAATGGAATTTTGGGTAAACAGATTTGGACTCAGAAGAAATGGTCAAGGGGATTTATGGGGATTACAAAGAAGAAAGGAAGATAGCAAAAAAAATTCTAATTCTCTGGTTGTTGCTAGCACCTCTGGTAAAATCCAGATCTTTGAAAGAGGAGGAGATAAGAGCAGGAGTGAGGGGCCAGCCCTGTGGTGTAGTAGTTAAGTTCGGGCACTCCGCTTCAGCAGCCTAGGATTCGAGGGTTTGGATCCCAGGCGTGGACCTACATACTACTCATCAAGCCACGCTGTGGCAGCGTCCCACGTACAGAATAGGGAAGATTGGCAGGAATGTTAGCTCAGGGACAATATTCCTCAAGCAAAAAGAGGAAGATTGGTGACAGATGTTAGCTCAAGGCCAATCTTCCTCACAAAAAAAATTTTAAAAGCAGGGGGGAAAGCTTCAACACTGGTTTGTCCTGCAAAGGCGTTCTTCTGCTTCCATGGCTCCCTGAAGAATATCACAAAAGCTACACAACTCTCTGGTAGTATGAAAGAGAAATGTTTCATAACCCAAACATTCCCCCTGCTTTGTGAGGTGACTGGGAAGCCTCAGTTAGAGATCTCATCCATTACTCTGCGCTGCAGAGAACATGTTCAATGAGGGAAGGAACAATCTGGGGGTTCATACAGGATGTTCCAAATCTTCCCTGCTTCATTGTACCTCTTGATTGCTATATTCTTAAAATTATTACTAAAGCTTAGTAATGGGTAAGATCTCTGATTCATGTGAGTATTATCTGACAATCTGATCCTTTGTCTTAGCTCACAGGAATAGAGCCTGGGAGAGGACAGATGATCAGAAGCACTTATATCTTTGACAGTGACCAGGAATAAAAGAAATGTGAGATCTGGGGGAGGTTAGCTGGCTACAGCATTGCTAAGAGAATTAATCTTAATAGTTCCCAATAAGGGGAGGAGGCTGACTTATCAGTTGAAATGTTTAGTTAGTGGAATTTTAACTGAGTTATTTTATTTTATTAAATGCTATTTAATGTTGCTCTATTACGTGTTCAATAATTTAAAATATGGGGGGGAAACAGGTCTTTTTCATCCATTCAGTGGATCACAGTTCTTCCTCTTAGATGGTTAAAAGATGGTTAACCATTTTGAATGGTTAAAAGATATGGGTTCCAGTTTCAGCTCTAGGTCCACCATTTACTAGCAATCCAAACTTTGAAAAGTAATTTAACCTCTCTTAGATTCAATTTTCATTGTTGTTACTCTTGGGAAAAGAGTTCATCAGAGGAGGAAGCAGGGAAGCATTGGTAGAGTCAATATTGGATTATAGAAGTAACTTGGATAAAAGGTAAGATGAAAATAAGCTCCAATTTTAGATCAGTTCCTCTCCTGCCCACGCCGCCATAGCCTGGCTCTGCTCCCAGGGCCTAAGCAAAAGCAATACTAAATCCTTACAAAAAAGGGCTTACAGTTGGTAGAACATTAGACTGAAAACCTTTTGGGAAAGTCTGGAACTCACTTTGGTAGGAGCACGTAGAAAGCTTGCCCAGGGTGAGACCAGGGAAGCAGAGCCAATCCTTTGCTTTCTAAAGCCACGGCAAAGTAGAGGATATAGGGCTCCCACAAGCATTTCCTGGAGGATCCCCAGAACAGGAGGCTCTGGAGCTAGCAATGCTTACTTATCACTACCACCTCTTAAAAGACAGAATTCTAATAAATCTGGCACAAAATCTAGACCAGGTTTCATGATTCCAAGCAGCAGAGTGGAAAAGTCTATAGAATATATGAATTATTAGCCAGAAGAAAATTCATCAAATACTTTTAGAAAGCTATGAACAACTCTGGAAATATTTAGAGACAGTGCTGTTGCCTCTGGCATTCTTAAATCTCAGGTAACAAGCTTGACTCCTCCAGCTAACTTGGAAACTGTGCTGGCTGGCAAGCAAGAAGAAAGCAGAGACAGAACGCCCGCTATCTTAGGAACTATATTGTTAAGGTCACTAGGAATTCACACTTTAACCAAATTCATCAAATTGTATCCCAGTGGAAGGGCTGAGACGGCGGGAATGGGAGTAGAGAGAATGTCCCACCAGTACTATTTTTTAAAAAAGAGTAGTTGGTAAATTCTTCTTTTGCAGGCGGGGGAACCAAGTTTCTGTAGAAAATAATACATGGTTAGGTTTTATAGGCAAAATTTGCACTTACTTTTAACATTCATTGAAACCAGAATTCTTTTCTTGAAATCTCACGATTGTATAATATGGTCAAGAATCCATTCAAAGGTTTCCTTTGATAATTATACCTGTAATGAACTATTGTCAAGCAGTAAGGCAGAAGCCTTAAATTTGGTGCTGAAGTCAGAGATTGAACTATGGCTCCACACCTTCTGTCTTCCTGCAGCTATCATCAAAAGTATGCCTTCTCTCAGAAGCAGTGGGTCCCAGCCAAGATGGCTACCACGTGAAAATGAGACAAGCAGGCATATCATCAATCCCAAAACAACTCACAGGAACCGTTCGAAAACAAACCACCTCAGGGGGCACGTTCCACCCTACTTTTGACTGTCAGCATGTCTGTCACCTGCACACCCACTAATAAACAAATAAAAAAGTGGTTCCATGTTACTCTCCATCCCAGTTCTCTCCTGCGGGGGTTAGAATATTCACAAAGCAAGGCAGAGGAGGTAACCAAAGCCTCTGAAGGGCACAATCAGGCATTATGAAGTTTGGAAAAAGTCAGGGTAATAACCATTGCCCTCTTCCCTTTTCAAAAAGGGCCACCATTTCTTTCCTCAGCTGCACACAGGTTGGATTGAAACGTGGCAGCAGCCTCACAAAAGCAGTCCTTTGAAAAGAAAATAATTACTATCCATTGCCTTTCCTGTGTGCCTAGCTTTGTTAAGACACAGTTTGTTAAATGTTATGGTGTAGGTGATTTGCTCAAACTAAACTAACTGCTAAACAAGAATCAAAAGGCTTTGTGTCCATATGACTCATTTCCCTTGACTGTAATGTTTCCATTTTTCCCAAAGACCATTTTGATCAAAGACAAACTCCCCATGGAACCAGCTGCCCAACAGATACCTCTCAGCCACTATTCACATTAACTCTTGAGTGTGGGCTAGATGGAAAACAAGCTTCCAGGACCTCACAAAACCTGACACTTGCAGCACTTCTCTAGTTAAGAACACTCAGAAGAGTAAGTCCTCTCCTCTAAGACTGTCGCGAAAGAAGCCTCAGACGTACTGGATTGTGGCAAGTTGCTGAAGAAAAAAACAGTACCATAACATCTTACAGGAGGGCAATATTTACAGGCAAAAGAGGGGGAAAATGTTCTTTTAATCTACCTACTTAAGGTAGAATTACTATACTTTACTAGTTAAAGGAACTATGAAAACCACTCTCATTTAATCTTGGTTTAATGAAAAACTACATACAGTCTCCAAGGTGAGGTTCATAGAGAACCCTCAGAAAACTGAGTTAAAAATTTGTTTCCAAAAGAAAATTCCAAATTAAGATCGATACCCTTATTCTTGGATCATACATTATGATCAAGTGGGATTCATACCAAGGACACAGGAATGGTTCAACATCCGCAAATCAATCAACATGATATACTACATCAATAAACTGAGGAATAAAAACCACATGATCATCTCAATAGATGCAGAGAAAGCATTTGACAAGATCCAATAGCCATTTATGATAAAAACTCTGGACAACATGGGGATAGAAGGGAACTACCTCAACATAATAAAGGCCATGTATGACAAACCCACAGCCAACATCATACTCAGTGGGCAAAAACTGAGCACCATCCCCCTGAGAACAGGAATGAGACAAGGATGCCCTCTATCACCACTCTTATTTAACATAGTACTGGAGGTCCTGGCCAGAGCAATCAGGCAAGAAAAAGGAATAAAAGGAATCCAAATAGGAAGGGAAGAAGAGAAACTCTCGCTGTTTGCAGACGACGTGATCTTATATATAGAAAACCGCAAAGAATCCATTGGAAAACTTTTAGAAGCAATCAACAACTACAGCAAAGTTGCAGGGTATAAAATCAATTTACAAAAATCAGTAGCATTTCTATACTCTAATAATGAACTAACAGAAAAAGAACTCAAGAACACAATACCATTCACAATTGCAACAAAAAGAATAAAATACCTCACAGTGAGTTTAACTAAGGAAGTGAAAGACCTATACAATGAAAATTACAAGGCTTTTCTGAAAGAAATGGATGACGACATAAAGAGATGGAAAGACATTCCATGCACATGGATTGGAAGAATAAACATAGTTAAAATGGTCATACTACCTAAAGCAATCTACAGATTCAACACCATCCCAATCAGAATCCCAATGACATTCTTTACGGAAATAGAACAAAGAATCCTAAAATTCATATGGGGCAACAAAAGACCTTGAATTGCTAAAGCAGTCCTGAGAAAAAAGAACACAACTGGAGGCATCACTATCCCTGACTTCAAAACATACTACAAAACTACAGTAATCAAAACAGCATGGTACTGGTACAAAAACAGGTGCACAGATCAATGGAACGGAATTGAAAGCCCAGAAATAAAACCACACATCTATGGACAGCTAATCTTCAACAAAGGAGCTGAGGGCACACAATGGAGAAAAGAAAGTCTTTTCAACAAATGGTGCTGGGAAAACTGGAAAGCCACATGTAAAAGAATGAAAATTGACCATTCCTTTTCACCATTCACCAAAATAAACTCAAAATGGATCAGAGACCTAAAGCTGAGACCTGAAACCATAAGGCTTCTAGAAGAAAATGTAGGCAGTACACTCTTTGACATCAGTATTAAAAGGATCTTTTCGGACACCATGTCTTCTCAGACAAGGGAAACAATAGAAAGAATAAACAAATGGGACTTCATCAGACTAAAGAGCTTCTTCAAGGCAAGGGAAAACAGGATTGAAACAAAAAAACAACCCACTAACTGGGAAAAAATATTTGCAAGTAATACATCTGACAAAGGCTTAATATCCATAATATATAAAGACCTCACACAACTCAACAACAAAAAATTAAACAACCCAATCAAAAAATGGGCAGGAGACATGAACAGACATTTCTCCAAAGAAGACATACGGATGGCCAATAGGCATATGAAAAGATGTTCATCATGGCTGATGATCAGGGAAATGCAAATCAAAACTACACTAAGATATCATCTTACACCCATTAAAATGACAAAAATAACTAACACAAATAGTAACAAATGTTGGAGAGGTTGTGGAGAAAAAGGAACCCTCATACACTGCTGGTGGGAATGCAAACTGGTGCAGCCACTATGGAAAACAGTATGGAGATTCCTCAAAAAATTAAAAATAGAACTACCATATGATCTAGCTATCCCACTACTGGGTATCTAGCCAAAGAGCTTGAAGTCAACAATTCCAAAAGTCCCATGCACCCCAATGTTCATTGTAGCATTATTTACAATAGCCAAGACGTGGAAGCAACCTAAGTGCCCATCAACAGACGACTGGATAAAAAAGATGTGGTATATATATATACAATGGAATACTACTCAGCCGTAAAAAAGAACAAAATCGTCCCATTTGCAACAACATGGATGGACCTTGAGGGAATTATGTTAAGTGAAATAAGCCAGATAGAGAAGGACAATCTCTGAATGACTCCACTCATATGAGGAATTTAAACCTGTGGACAAAGAGAACAGATTAGTGGCTACCAGGGGAAAGGGGGGGTGGGAGATGGGCACAAAAGGTGAAGGGGTGCACCTACAACACGACTGACAGACAATAATGTACAACTGAAATTTCACAAGATTGTAACCTATCATTAACTCAATAATAAATAAATAAATAAATAAAAGATCAATACCCTTATTCTCTCTCATCTCATCTTCTGGCCCCCACCTTACAAGTCTTGTTAAGCTTTGGTCCCTGAAATAAGACTGCCTGGGTTTGAATCTCAATCTAGTTAACTTACTAGTTGAGTCAACGTGGGTCTTTAAATTTCCGGGTTTCTCCATTTGTAAAAATTGGAATGATGATAACAGTACTTAATTCACAGGGTTATTATAGATATAAAACAAGATAAGCTATGCAAAGTACTTAACTACTTAACATAATGCCTGGCATTGTAGTTAAAGCTCAGTAAATATTAGCTGCCATTACTTTTATTGTTGTTACTACACTTCATTTCAGCTCAGGTACCACTTATTCCAGAAAGTCTTCCTTGATGAAACCTTCACCCCAAAATTCCTCTCTTCTGCATATCCTACATATACCTCTATTGTAGTATTTCTGTCACTGGATCCTATTTGTTTGTCTACCTCACATACTCTGTCCTCTCTAAGTGCTGGGGTTGTATCTTGTATCTGTGTATCTGTAGGCCCAGCAAAATGATTGGCACATAATAAGCCTTCAAAGAATTATTTGTTAATTTTAAAAGTTTACCCAATATTTAAATAAATTTATGTTATTTTTTAAACTAACAAAATCTAGCAAAAGATGTCAGCTCCGATATGGAATTACTCGAGTTTTAGTCATTTGAGTCAGATCCTCAATGTTTATTAATTTCCTTAGCTAAAGGAGGAGAGAGACAGGAGAGAAAAACAAAGTTCTCAGTTCACTAAGAAATGAGAGCTTTTCAACTTAAATTAGGGAGAGCACTAGAATGGGAGGTATGATAAGAGATGAGCAAAAAGAGAAACTGAAGAAAAGCCAAGTGGATTAAGAAGAGAGAACTAAATCTAACATAACCAGCTAGGAAACAGCCTTTCCTGCTTAAACACTAAACTGAAAAATCCTTTCAAATCACAAAGCAATCTTTCCTCATAAAAGGAGCAACCAAATTTCAGTTCCCTGAGCTATCCATTTCAGACCACTCCACTTCACTCAAAGGCAAGATGGGCTTTCATAAGATGGAACTTTCTGAACAAAGCAACGGTGGAGAATAGCTTCCCAGTTCACCTAGGCAAATAGCCATCCATCACTGATGACACCTAGAGCCATCCATTTCCCTCCTCCTGAGCAATCATAAGAAGGAAAAGGAAAAAACACCTCAAAGTCTGGTCACCTAGGTGAAAAAATGGAAACCAGTCTATCACAATTGTAATGCCTTTAGCTGCTACCTGGTACTTATTAATCAAAAGTTTGTATTAATTGGGTACGATTGCTATTAAGTTTCAAAAGACCTATCTGTTAAGGTTTAGTCCAAAGCCATTTTGACAACCAGGTTATAAGTGAGAGTATTAATCGAAACACTGGTGTAGCTGAAAATAGCTCTCCTACCATAGAGTCACCAGCTCAGAAATGATCTAGTCATCAAGGGCTTTATAATATTTAAAGACAGATTGAAGGCAAATGATTAAACCATGTACTTTTTAAAAAAAACTGTAACTAGGGGGTTACAATGCTGCATATAATATACTCAGAATCTCCTGCTTTGCTTTTTCTCCCACCACCTTATGACTAAAAGACTCTGGATAATGCTGTCAGCAAGGAGAGCACGCCTCCAAGCCACAGCGTGAAGGAACCCACACCTCTCTATGTAACACTGTCTTTGTACTTCAAAAAGCACAGGTATCAAATGATAACAGATAAACTTGCGCCTGCATATAAAAGTCGTTCTAGAAAGACAGAAATTTTTTTTCTAAAGAGAAAAGCATATGGATATGATGTCACGAATCTAGCAATTCCCTGTATAGCCCCCTTGTAGATGCTATTGTTAAGAACCTACATTTGATTGCCATCTCTGACTGCAGGGCTGATAAATTATTTGCATTCACCATAACCATACCAACCTTCTTTGGAAACCCACACGACAAACCTTGAATCAGAGCACTGTTTTGTTGTTTGGGAAGGGTTGTTCTTCGTTTTGTTTTGTTTTTT